ATTATTAATGTGTCTGATATGTGTGGTAGGGGAAGGATGAATCAACGAGAAAATGATGAATTTAACGAAAGGAAATGAATAATTAATGAAAAATTATTTGTTAAAGAAATTTATATTTTTACACCGTTTATATATATTTAGAAAAGCGCGAAATATATATATATATAAAAATAATACATTATGTTTCAATTAGGGTTTAACTAATAATATCGATAATATTTAATTTAATGGCTTTTGTTGTTCATTTTAGGATTTAAGTGAAAAAATTAAAAAAATATGCGATAATTTTATTAAATATTGCACCAATTTCCATAATAATCATCTTGAAATAAAAATTTATTTCATTTTTATTGTTATATTATTTTGTATTTTATGAGTACACATATACAATTTTAACTATTGTTAATAATTTTTACTTTATTCTGGTGCAAAAAACTATATTTTAATAATGTAATAATGATAATCTAGTAGTTTTCATTGGAAGGTTCAGATGCATTTGTAATTTATGTCATCAAATTAGGAGGTCTGATAACAGGTTGATCCTGAATTGTTGATAAAAGAAGGAGGCAACTATTGAAAAATATTTGTAATAGGATTTGACGACGAGTCACAAGACTTTTCACCAGTATTATTATTCCAAACAGTAATTTTTGGATCAAGTCCTTTGATTGCTTGAGCATTTTCTCTAGCTAAATCTTTATATGCACCATGTTTAATCATTAAATATTCCATTGTTAGATCACCGGTATCGCCAAATGCTTTCGTCAAATTCTTTATACCTTCAGCTTGAGCATTAAATAATGGCAGGACGCCTTCAGCTTCCTTTTTCTTCCTGTACAATTGAGCTTCAGCTTCTTGTTGTGCTGTGTAAAATTTTGATTCGGCTATAGATTTTGAAGCTTCATATTCAGCGGTAGCTTTTGACGCATATAGCACACGGAGCCTTTCAGTTTCTGATAATAATCTAAGTTCTTCAACCCCTTTTTGAAGTTCGTATTCCCAGATTTTAGCAGCTTGTGTGGCTTCAATTGCTGCTATTTTTGTATTTTTATCGTATTCAGATTTCTTTGTGGAAAGAGTAGCATTAGCTTCAGCAATTATTGCATTAGATTCATTTTCTACAAGAACTGTTTCTGCTTCAATTTTTGAAGTTAGTTGTCGCTTTTAAAAAAAACCATGATTTTTTTATTAGAAAAGAAATGCCAAAATTACAATTCATTAAATATGGTAAATATACTGACAGTCAAGCCCTCTCGCTCTTTAACACCAACATCTCCACGATATTTTGCTTCTGATACGTCAACTGTTGCTTGTTGAACAGCTCCTTCGTGTGTTTTCATTCGATATGGGTACAACACATAAATATACCGTAAATATAATCCTTTGAGAAAAAAGTTTCAAATCTATTTGATTAAATTAGGATTACCAAATATGCAAAATATTCAGATCCTTGAATATCTTGTAATTGTTTTATATTGGAATTATAAACAAACAAACCAAATTGATCCAATTCAGCTTGTACATTTTTAATAACCTTTTCTTTAAAACGTCTTCTTTCCCTAAACATTTCTTCCATGGTCATACCAGCTGCTATAACACGCTAAGTTAATATAAAGAAAACATTCATCGGTTTAATTGGCTTGTTACTTATTTGATCATTTGCACCTTCAAATGTTTATTCCTCTAATTTCCTATTTCATTACTTACTGTTTCACCTTCAATAATACCTCTAACCAAATCCTTTACGTATTCAGAGTTTTTATTATCAGCAAATAACAATTTAGCATAATAATATAATGCCACAGGTTCATCCTTTGGGCCAATGGTAAACACAGCTGGTAAATTGAATTCCAATCTTTCAGCAGACATGGCTTGCAACTGCAATGTATAATTGACTGGAGTGATATCAAAGAATCTTGAATGTTGTCCGGGTAATACCCATCCTTTTTTTGTTATTTCTATATCTTTGATGAATGCGCCAGTTTTTATTAAATATTGATTTGGGTTACTGGAAAGAAAGAGTGTGTGTTCTGCGTATGTAAAAACAGTGATAACTTGTATTTAAATAATAATTTATATTTATATAGATATTTATTATTTACCTAATTTTATACATTTTTTAATAAAATTTACATTTGAATGATTTATAATAAAAGTTTTCAATTCTTAGTTAACAAACTAATTACATATATGTAAAGAGATTATCGTGAAATATTAGATTAGTATTAATTTAGTTAACTTAATTTGGAGGAAAATTTTCCAAAGGTTCACTAAGAAAAATATAAATTAAATTATTATTATTATTATTATTATTATTATTATTATTATTATCATTATCATTATTATAATGTAATGAAATTTAAAATAAATAAATAAGTTTACTTACTCTCTTAATTCCCAAACATCTAAAGAATTTTTTTGTTTGTCGTATTGTTCTTTTCTCATCTTTTCTCTTTCTACTATCATTTTCTAAATAAAAATGGTTTTATTTAGATTTTAGATCTCCTTCTTCCCCTCCTTTTTCAATTACCTTTCTAATTTCCAATGACTTTGTCTTTAGTTTTATACACCATTTAAGATTTTCATATTTCATGCTACAATCTTTTCTCTTGCCATGTCTATAATAATTTTTTGTTTGACCTGAAATGGCTGTTGTAATATATTACAATATATATAAATATATGTTAAATATATGTATAATTTTTATCCCCCTCTTCACTTACAATTACACATAATGAATGCATCAAATTCTTGAATAAAATTGCAATTATATTTATTTTCATCATCTTCCATGATAGTATATAGTAAAAAATTTATAACGATTAAAAAATTACATCTTTAGATAATCTAAATTCGTGTAACTATAAATACCATGAATCTATTGTATTTTGTAATTGAGACATCTTCTTGCAGTTGACTATCCATATTCCCCAATGGAAAGTAAACCGCAAAATTTCATAATATCCAGTTTTTCGTTAAATTTCTTAATTAGACATAATAATGTGCCGTTGGATTAAAGCATTTTTTTTGGACAACAATTTTATTCCTTTCAGCTGTATTGTTCTTCGGGGTAGATTTTTAAGTCTTCTCTTTAGCCAATTGATAAAATTTTTATGTAAAGTTTGGCTTGAAATTTTCCACATAAAACTTACATTATCAATGTAATATTGCATAATATCACAGTATTGTAATAATTGTGTAAACCTTAGACAGGGCCTAACATAATTATTACATGCCTGAAAACTTTCTGATGACCATTCATTCCTTAAAAATTATATTATTAAACCTAACATATCAAGATTAGGTCTAATAGTATTATCCATCTATCCTTTTATATTTCTATCCAACAAAACCACACTCTGTAATCCCTAAGACAGCTTCTAAACTTTTGTTGAATTTATAGTTCTATCATAAAAAAAGAACCCAAACACGATCAATTCCTAAAATTCACAACACGGTCTAGACATTGTGGATTTTTAGCAACATCATCTTCTTTGACCTTATTTTTTAAATAGGGAAGCTTGGAATTATTCTTAATAATCACATATTTTCATGAAACACAAACTAGACTTCAACAAACATTTGAATGCAATTTGGTTGTGATAGAACTAGCGTTGGTTTCCAAAACTATAGAGTTTCGCAACTGTGCAAAGTCAAAAGGTTTTGCCACAAGTCGAAACTAGTTTCGACATATAACTGTTTTGGATTTTGCCTCTTCAAAATAGTTTTGGCAACCAACAATATCAATTGATTGTTACTAGGTATTTAATATATGCTTAACCTGTTATCCAAAAGGAAAGTAAAACCGCTAGCCAGATTGATGAAAGATCACAGCAAAAACCACCTCTGAGTTTTTTATGGCCGAAATTATTTTTAAATTATTCAAGTTAAAATAGGCTGGTTGATTTATATAGTTTTTTCATGTTAATTCTTATATATAAAAATATTGGGAAGCCCAAACTATTGTCAAAGCTACTTTTTTTTCGAAAATTGTTTGGACAGAAACCTTACTTCATACATGTATTTTCTATGAGTGATCCCATTTAATTATTGGAAGTTTTAACATTTACTGCAGCTCTTGTGGGATATCGGAAAACAATTAATTCGCAATTCGTAATAAACGGAAAGGATTTCGATAAGAGAATTAATTGATTAATTAATAGCCAGAATCCCGAGTCATTTTTAATTGTAATGACAAACGTCCCACTTTAACTGTAAATCTTGTTCACATTATGGGTTAAATAAAGATACAACTAAATTGATTCATTACTTATTGAAATCTCTGAAGCATTGTAATTTAGTAAATTATAATTTTATTATCATAATATTTGCTTTGGTGTTATTTTATTGAAGATAAGTTTTTTGAATTGGAATTGTTCATTATTCAAAAGAAATTTTATTAAATCATCAATTATTTAATTTTTTTTCTTTTCCAAAAAAAAATAGATACATGGTAAATAATCTGGTGGTGTACTATCAGAATGAATTGTTGCGCGACCATAGTGATAGGTTTGGATTTGATTGTTTCTCAAGTCGAAACTTGTTTATTCATTGTAAAAAGGACGCAGAATTCGAATTGTTTATATGCATGATGTTTCATTAGTATTAGAGCACCACTTTATCGAATTGGTCAATTTTGTTGTTGTCGACTCTAGTAGTATGTAAATGACCAATATTAAATAACATGCGCGTCGAAATACAATGCAACAAAATAAAATATTAATATCAATATGTGTTACAAACAAGTAAAGAAATTCAATTACTGATTGAACACATCATCTATAAATCTCAATAAAATAAGTTTTACTTCTACATATGAAACTTTTTCTATCATCCGAGAACACACACTCTTTCTTTCCAGTAACCCAAATCAATATTTAATAAAAACTGGCGCATTCATCAAAGATATAGAAATAACAAAAAAAGGATGGGTATTACCCGGACAACATTCAAGATTCTTTGATATCACTCCAGTCAATTATACATTGCAGTTGCAAGCCATGTCTGCTGAAAGATTGGAATTCAATTTACCAGCTGTGTTTACCATTGGCCCAAAGGATGAACCTGTGGCATTATATTATTATGCTAAATTGTTATTTGCTGATAATAAAAACTCTGAATACGTAAAGGATTTGGTTAGAGGTATTATTGAAGGTGAAACAGTAAGTAATGAAATAGGAAATTAGAGGAATAAACATTTGAAGGTGCAAATGATCAAATAAGTAACAAGCCAATTAAACCGATGAATGTTTTCTTTATATTAACTTAGCGTGTTATAGCAGCTGGTATGACCATGGAAGAAATGTTTAGGGAAAGAAGACGTTTTAAAGAAAAGGTTATTAAAAATGTACAAGCTGAATTGGATCAATTTGGTTTGTTTGTTTATAATTCCAATATAAAACAATTACAAGATATTCAAGGATCTGAATATTTTGCATATTTGGTAATCCTAATTTAATCAAATAGATTTGAAACTTTTTTCTCAAAGGATTATATTTACGGTATATTTATGTGTTGTACCCATATCGAATGAAAACACACGAAGGAGCTGTTCAACAAGCAACAGTTGACGTATCAGAAGCAAAATATCGTGGAGATGTTGGTGTTAAAGAGCGAGAGGGCTTGACTGTCAGTATATTTACCATATTTAATGAATTGTAATTTTGGCATTTCTTTTCTAATAAAAAAATCATGGTTTTTTTTAAAAGCGACAACTAACTTCAAAAATTGAAGCAGAAACAGTTCTTGTAGAAAATGAATCTAATGCAATAATTGCTGAAGCTAATGCTACTCTTTCCACAAAGAAATCTGAATACGATAAAAATACAAAAATAGCAGCAATTGAAGCCACACAAGCTGCTAAAATCTGGGAATACGAACTTCAAAAAGGGGTTGAAGAACTTAGATTATTATCAGAAACTGAAAGGCTCCGTGTGCTATATGCGTCAAAAGCTACCGCTGAATATGAAGCTTCAAAATCTATAGCCGAATCAAAATTTTACACAGCACAACAAGAAGCTGAAGCTCAATTGTACAGGAAGAAAAAGGAAGCTGAAGGCGTCCTGCCATTATTTAATGCTCAAGCTGAAGGTATAAAGAATTTGACGAAAGCATTTGGCGATACCGGTGATCTAACAATGGAATATTTAATGATTAAACATGGTGCATATAAAGATTTAGCTAGAGAAAATGCTCAAGCAATCAAAGGACTTGATCCAAAAATTACTGTTTGGAATAATAATACTGGTGAAAAGTCTTGTGACTCGTCGTCAAATCCTATTACAAATATTTTTCAATAGTTGCCTCCTTCTTTTATCAACAATTCAGGATCAACCTGTTATCAGACCTCCTAATTTGATGACATAAATTACAAATGCATCTGAACCTTCCAATGAAAACTACTAGATTATCATTATTACATTATTAAAATATAGTTTTTTGCACCAGAATAAAGTAAAAATTATTAACAATAGTTAAAATTGTATATGTGTACTCATAAAATACAAAATAATATAACAATAAAAATGAAATAAATTTTTATTTCAAGATGATTATTATGGAAATTGGTGCAATATTTAATAAAATTATCGCATATTTTTTTAATTTTTTCACTTAAATCCTAAAATGAACAACAAAAGCCATTAAATTAAATATTATCGATATTATTAGTTAAACCCTAATTGAAACATAATGTATTATTTTTATATATATATATATTTCGCGCTTTTCTAAATATATATAAACGGTGTAAAAATATAAATTTCTTTAACAAATAATTTTTCATTAATTATTCATTTCCTTTCGTTAAATTCATCATTTTCTCGTTGATTCATCCTTCCCCTACCACACATATCAGACACATTAATAATAATAATCATGAAAAAATCCTTTAATTCTTTATTCTTTTCCTTCATTATATTTGAATTTATAATAAATGTTTCCGGTGTTTGTTACGAAAACCCTGATCTATTTCGTCCCGAAATAAAAGTAGCCGTCGAATGCCCTTATGTCAAATCACCAACACGAAATTCCAAATTTGATTCTCAGATTATAAATTCTAAAAATAATTTTATAATTAATTTCGAGTGCCAATTACCCGATAATAAGCAGTGTGATAAAGCAAAATTCGCATTCGAAAATTCTGGTGTAATTCTCACTTCTGCATTATCATTAAACACTCCAATTATAATAAACGCTACCTTTACAATCTTTGATGGCCCAATTGCAGATTTAATTGGTAGGCATACATATACGTAACCTGTATTTGATAATCTTCCAGGCTACAATGATCTAGAAAATATATTAACCTCTGCCTTTTTTATATTTATTTATATATATGTAGGCGCAGCAGGTCCTTTTAGATTTATGCCGTTAAAAGACAACGATGGTATTGAAAGATTATATCCTCAAGCATTGGTTAAACAATTTCAATTTGATTCGCATCCAGAATTTTCATCGGCTGATATTGTAGCTCAATTTAATTCAAAATCACCTTTTTGGTTTGAAGGTGACCCGCCAATCCGTAAAGATCAAATTGGTTTTCAAGAATTGGTTTTGCATGAACTTTTACACGGGTTGGGATTTATTTCGAGTCTAGATGATTACATCCATCCGGTACCGAAGATAATCACACCTGAAATAGTTGGTCTAAAATATACGTCCGATGGAGTTGATACTAAATCACCAATAAAATTCAAAGGTTTCATAGAGATGGCATTTGATAAATACATAGTATTCTTATCTGACGGCAAATTATTATCCAATACCACGGCGCAAATCAATCAATTATTCACAGGTAGTGGTGATACAACCAGTTTTGCTAATCTCGACGCATTTATTAAAGCCTTTTCAACAACTCCACAATTTAAAATTGGCCAAAAAATGCTTGATGTTGTTACCAAAGAAAAAACTTTGGGATTTTTACCACACGATAAGAGTTCAGTCAAGGATAGCGTTATATTGGAAACTTCTTTAAAACCTTTTCAACATGCTTCAAGTATAAGCCACGTTGATTATAAAACGTATACAAATACATCTGAATTTTTGATGACATTTCTTCAAGAATCTGGAAGAACGCTTAATGACTCCATTGCTATAGGTGGAAACCTTAATGCGGGTGCAATTGGTCCTCAAACCTTGTCCATTTTGGAAACTTTAGGGTATGAATTTTTAATAAATTTTAAATTATCAATTGAAGTCAATAATATAATATTAAATATAATCATAATAATCTTTAGATATGCAACTAAACAATATCCTAACCCATACAAGCCATCTGCGCTATCAAATTCAACCGAGAATCCCATTGCTACTCAGACAGTTCCTGATTCAAGTTCAAGTTCAAGTCTAAGTTCAAATCCAAGCTCAAGTCCAAGTTACGACGCAACACCCCAAACTTCTAGTGCATTGAATTTAATAAATTTTAATGCAAATTTGTTTTTTTTTATGACAATCAATTTATTAATCCATACTTTTGATAATAAATTAATAAACTAGTTAAATCTTTTTTTTAAAAAAAATCTAATGATTCTTTAATTTTGATGATGATAACAATTTCATATATAGATTTCATAGATCTGGTTAACAACCTAACCATCTCAATGTAATAAAAATAAACATTGCAAGGTTGTTTTATACAGTACATTTAATTTAATAAAGAGATGAAAAATAATTAAATTATTTCTCCAATACTATCATTACAAAACATCATGATTTTCAGCGTTTGAGGATAATTTCTAATACGACTTTTGCTGTTAAATTGAACTTTGTCAATTTCTTTTTTCTTTTTTCTTTTTTGATTAGTACCCATGACATCTGGGTTCACATACCAACGATACATTCCAAAGAGCGTGGATTGAGGAACGTGATGATTTTATTCTTTTAAAACTTGATCCATCGAATATCGCCTACCATTTTCAATAATTGATTTGCTGAGAAAATCATTTGTTATTTGTTTATTGATTTTAATAAAATAGAAAGGCAATTATATGCTAGAGAAAATTTAAAAAGCTGTTTTGAGAACTTTAGTACCATCGTCACATTCACATTCTCAATAATAACCACATTCATCACAACAACGACAAACATTACCATTACATTCATCTTCTATTCTGTGTTCACAACCATCAAACAAATATTCCAATAGGTACACTCCCTGGACAAAAGTTTCGGTCACTACAAAACAATTAATTACGCAAAACGTACATAATAAAACACAAATAAATTTCATCAAATTATGACCAAAGTTTGCAAGATTATGTATGCAAAATTTCAAATTTTTGTAATGTTTGGGAGAATAACAGTTAAAAAAATAAAAAGTTCGACCAAAAATCTTCTGAAAAATTGTAGTTTGCCAAAAAAAAACAGTTTCTCAGAAACTTACATAATAACCACACCTGAAATCGTGACATATGAAAGATTAGATTCTGAAAAATTACGTCATATGTTTTTTATACAAGTTTTTTTGTAAAAAATTGTTTTGAAATTTTTGAAATTTTTGATAAATTAAAAAATGTCAAAGCAAAAATCGTCAAAAATTGGATTGAAACAAAAAAGTAAAAATTTTGAAAAATTGGCCA